CTAACCCAAACCCTTACCCTAAGTCTAACCCTAACCCTAATCCTAAAAGTCTAACTCTAACCCTAGCCCTAAGTGAAAAAAAAAGACAGCAGTCTTAATGGTTTCCACTTGCCAGGAACTCCCTTTTTAAATTTTTTATTTACAGATCATTTTCCTGGGGGCTCTTATTACAGTCCATACATCAGTTGTATCCGGCATATTTGTACAGATGACACCAGCCTTCTTTTCTAGACAGTTACTTTCCACTGAGCCCTTGGGATCAGCTCCTCTTTTTCTCTCCCTTCCCACCACCCTCATGACCCCTTGATAGATTATAAATTATTATTATTTTCTTTTTTTAGAAATTACTTTACTAGGGGCTCATACAACTCTTATCACAATCCATACAGACATCAGTTGTGTAAAGCGCATTTGCACATTCATTGCCCTCATCATTCTCAAAACATTTCCAATCCACTTAAGCCCCCGGCATCAGCTCCTCATTTTTCCTCCTCCCTCCCCGCTCCCCCCTCCATCGTGAGCCCTTGATAATTATTATTATTTTCATATCTCACACCTACTGCTGTCTCCCGTCCCCCATGGTTTATGTTGCTCTTCCCATGGAAGGGTGTGTCTGGGGGGTGGTGGTTGTCAATGTGTCAATCATTGCAATTGGTTCCCCCTTCCAAACTCCCTTTTTTTTAAGTGGAGCAAAGATTTAATAAGCAAAGTACATTTCAATCAGGAAGCAGGTCACCTCATGGTTTGAGGAAGCTGAGCAATTCTAGAGCAAGACTTTGAACTTCAGAGGCAGGGGTGGAAGGACTGCATTGGCTCCCCTCAGCCCCTATCCTGATTTCCCATTGGCCCTTATTCTTGCGTGCTCATTGGTCCTCATTCCAGCAAAGCGGTTGGTTTCATAAGCCATGGCTTGTGCACCTCATTATCATGTGGAGCAGGGTCAGTTCACGGGTTATCTGCCGGGGACCCCTTTCACTGAACAGCCAAGTGCGTATCTGTGCTATTCTGGGCCTCCCATCCCAAACGCAGAGCTTCATAAGCTTTAAAACCACGGTCTCCTCTTTCTCAGGAGGCTGTGCGTTGGCTGCGTGGTTCTTCTGCGGGTCTTGCATGGGTTAGCGCAGGCAGTGTGGTGGCTGGGGGCTCCGTTCAGTGGGAACAGCAGGACAGCGGGACCGCCCTCTCCTCCCTGGCTTTGCATTGCCTGGCAGCCAGAGCATCCCAAGTGCCCAACAGGCCCTCATTCTGCCGTGCTCTGTTGGTCAAAGCAAGTCACGAAGCCACCCCTGTTTGCAGAAGGGGAGATGGGCCTGTGCCCATTCTTGGGAGAAGTAGCAAAGTCATGTTCATAAGCAACATGCACACAAGCAATAGCAGAAGCACTTGGACCTATTTTCAAAGCACCGTAGCCACTAAGATTTGGAGGTTGGTAGAGGGAGGGTGGGTTGGAAAGGGGAACCGATTACAAGGATCTGTACATGACCTCCTCTCTGGGGGAAAGACAACAGAAAAGTGGGTGAAGGGAGACATCAGACAGGGCAAGATATGACAAAATAACAATTTATAAACTATCAAGGGCTTATGAGGGAGGGGGGAGCAGGGAGGGAGGGGAAAAATGAGGAGCTGATGCCGGGGGTTTAAGTGGAGAGGAAATGTTTTGAGAATGATGAGGGCAATGAATGTACAAATGTGCTTTACACAATCAATGTATGCATGGACTGTGTTAAGAGTTGTATGAGCCCCTAATAAAACGATTAAAAAAATAAAATAAAATAAAAAAGAGTTGGAGGTTGTTTGTTACCAAACCATAATGAAGCTTATCTTGACTGAACACTGAACCCCCTGGATTTTGGCTGCCTTGGTAAAAAGCCAAACCTGTGTTAAACCTTTAAAAGAAAGGGCTTGCCCCAGTTCTTTCTCTCATGAGTTTGTCCCAATATTTGTTGAGTTCGATCAATTCAGCAGACTCCCTTTTCCCATCTTCCTTAAGTCACAAACACTCCAAT